AGTATCTGGCAGACTTTTCCATGAAGTAGGAAATTTGATGATCTCCTATGTCTTGCATTGGCAAAGTTTATCAGTTGCTTTCTTCTGTGTCCTGGAAAATGCCTGGCAGTTCTTTCATTAAGCAGAAACTCTGAAGGACTGTCTCACCTTTAGGCAAGTTCAGCAGTCATTTTTCTATGGGTCCTACATGCCCAGGTTTTACAGCATACCATAAGCAGTCCATGTAAGAGCAGTTTTTTGCCCAAATGGCTAACCAACTCCATAAGGAGCCTCTTTGTTTGATGCCCATCTTCCTCTTGAAGTAGATTGGTGTTTCCAGGTACAGATAATGTCTCATTGTTGAGAAAAGTCTAAGTTCTTAAAACAGTTTAAATCCCATATTCTGTTAGTCTTTGAAAGGTTTGAAGAATATCTACCCATCTAAAATGTATATCTGTAAATCTAGAAAACCTAACTAACATGACTACAAGTTTGACAGTAGATGACTATCTACTAACCTGTTTCTTAATTATATATTACATTTTTAAATAAGCTGCACAAACACAATACCTTAAACAAGAACAGAAATACATGTATAACAAAATCAGCCTTAAATTTGTATCAGTAGGCCAAGATCCACACAAATACAAAGTATTCATCTCTATATAATATTCCCCTTTAAATGTAAATAAACATTCATAAATAATATTTGGAAATTTGGGCATAGTTTTCTCTAAACTGCTTTTTGCTTTTTGTTGGGCAAAGTATTTGGGGGGTTTATGATCTTGGTCCATCAAAACACATTAGATTAGTCTGGATTCCACAGGATCTCATCCTCTGTGGAAACAAAAGCAGAACCTCTTTTCCAAAGCAAGATATCCTTAGACCCAAATTTTGAAGTTAATATACCTTTAAAATATATATGTTGATTTAGCTTAGCAGCCTGTACAATGTCTCTCTGTACTTAGCTCATTAATAGTCAAAAAATTTAAAGCAAACCTAGTAATATGCATAATCCAGACTCTGTGTATTTTTCATCTTTATATGGCTTATTTTTCTTTACTCCTTTAATCTGTGGCTGTCTGGATGCTGTCTCTTTAAAGACTCTGTTTTATTTTTTAAAACCATTTATTATTTTTATAACTGCCCATTTTTTTTATCTCTCCCAGGCCTCTGTACATTTTTAAACATACTATTACCAGTTCAGAGGTTTATTTTTGTCTGAATCTGTCTTTATTGTATATCTGTAATCATTTTGTGACCAGGAACACCTTTTTTTTTTTAATGGTAAATGGGCATGGCTAAGACTAACTCTGTGGTTTTGCCTGTTGGCTCTGCCCAGTTCAATATGGAGGAACCATGTTTACTGCCTCTGACAGCCATGCACACCGCCACAGCTCCAGGGTCACAGAGTGGGTGTATGTCACCATGAAGCAATTTGTAACATGTTGCTCACAGCCCCCTGAAAGAGCCAGAGCCCTCCCTTAAAGAAGCCACTAAGCCTTTTCAGTCACTGGGCTGAGCTCCTGAAGTGCAATGAAAGAGAGGGAGGAGTGATAATATGAACAAGTGGGTCAAGACCATGACGGGAAACCCACAGAATCAGGTGACTGGTTTAGTGGGAGCTCACTGACTCTGCACTGACAACTGGGGAACCTGCACAGGACTGAACTAGGCCCCCTGAATGCAGGTGACAATGATGTAGCTTGGGCAGTCTGTGTGGCCAGGATCTAACCCTAATGCATAAACCGACTTTGTGGAGCCCATTGTCTGTGGAGCGATAACTTGCTTAGCCTAGGCACAGTGTGGGTGGGGGAGAGGGCCTTGGTCCTGCCTTAAGGAGGTGATAGACAGATTTAGCTGACTTCCCAGGGGAGGCCTTATCCTCTCTAAGAAGTGGATGGGGAGTAGGGTGGGAGGAAGGTGGGGGAAGCGGGAGGAGAGAAGGGAGAGGGAACAGGAACTGCTATGTAAAAATTAATTAATTAGTTAATTAATTAATTAATTAATTAATGGTGGGTGGGTACATGCGTGTGGGCACACACACACGTAAGCATGATTAACTCATGCTCCACCACTGAGCTAAAAAATATCTCAAGATTTATTTATTTATTTATTATTTGGTTTTTTGAGACAGGGTTTCCTCTGGCCATCTTTGGAACTCATTCTGTAGACCACAGTCTGGTCTCGAACTCAAAGATCCTCCTGCTTCTGCCTCCAGAGTGCTGAGACTAAAGGCATGCGCCACCACCACCCAACAATAATTTTTAAAAAA